TGGGTGTGGGTGTGGGTGTGGGTGTGGATGTGGGTGTGGGTGGGTGTGGGTGGGTGTGGGTGGGTGTGGGTGTGGGTGTGGGTGTGGGTGTGGGTGTGGGGTGTGGGTGGGTGTGCGTGTGGGTGTGGGTGTGGGTGCGGGTGTCGGTGTGGGTGGGTGTGGGTGTGGTGTGGGTGTGGGTATGGGTGGGTGTGGGTGTGGGTGTGGATTCTCTTCCCACTAACACGCATATTGACACACCCACACCCACACCCTTTTTTCGATCGGACTTTATTATCAACAAGAACAGAAGAACAATTTTCATCATATCATGGATCATATCTCAATTAATGGGCTAATAGAAAGATAAAGTCTTAACTATACACTTTTTATAGGAACATGTTTCATTAACAACAATAATAATGTTGGACCATGTCCTTCGAAAGCTTGTCACACAACCTGTTGGAGTAATACCACCGATTGTCAATTTCAATGTTTGGACGAAGTGTTTACGGATTCAATTAGTTTAATCATTAAAACCTATTATTTGAAATCAAACATTTTCAATGACGTTCAAAATACACAACAAACTCATCGTAAATATCAAGAAATTCAAATGATTGATTATAAATGTGAATATCAACGATGCAATAGTCAAAATAACACTGACAAAATACATCAGATCATCATGAAAATTTATAACATTTCATCAGTTCGGCGTCTACTGAATTATACTGACGAAGTATCTCAAACTATGATAACTGATTCATTAACGATACAGGACTGGTCAAAAACTTTTACAAATACTCATTCGTCAACAAATCTCGTTTCATCTTCTTCGGCACCTGCCTATACGGCAGAAATAACAAGCATTGCACCATTAATGCCAACAACGACTGTTCTATTGTCGTCGGTAGAATTTCAAGATGATCCTACTGGCAAGAGTTTATATTCGTCAAGTCTGATTCTAACAGTGTCTAAAAGTCCAAGTGAACAATCGCGAACACCAACATACTTTAATCAATATCCGATGGAAACGACACAAAAACCTCCATTGGAAACAGCTAATTTAGAAGTATCCACTACTGTGATGCCAAAAAATAATTCAAGTCAAAGGTATCAACATTTCTTTATGCATTACTTTACATAGATCTATGCAATAATTAGTCTTCTATGTCGACACCATTTTATTTGGCAATATTTCGAATTACGATTTATATTGTACAACATCCTAACAAAGTACTGTTGAATGAATACTAATAATAAATCTTGAAAATATCAATCGAAATCAATGCGTAGAGTATAGTACCGTAACGAATAATGATCACATCACATTTGAATATTTATGTTAATGTTTCAACACGACATACAACATTCATCTTAAAAGGTAGAAAAAGTTGTTTGAATAACTTTGATTGACAAGAAAAAGTCATTTGATTGTTAAAAGAAGATTTAAATCAGAACCGAATAAGTTTGAGTATTCGCCGAGAAATGACTGAAATACTCTTAGTGAGATTTAAACCAATCTCATTCTCAATCTTAAAACGTAGAATATGGGCAATATAATTTTCTCTTCATCATGAGTTTTAATAAAATGACAAGATGATTTCAATAGAATAAAAGAAGCAAGTAGATTGAATTCACAAGTTTAATATGATTAGAAAAGGTTCATGTAACCGTATATATGAGATGAATGCGAGTTGATATATAAGCAAGGTTATATAGGTTCCCATGGATACAATAAAGAAGTGTCCGGTACCATATAATCAGGTTCAATATGTAATTCAACATATTCACACCATGAATGATTATGACTGAGTGGATTATAAAACTCTATTGTTAGCTTTAAACTGGCTGCTGACGGTAGTAATAATTCTGTCCATCGAAATTTGATTGAACCACTGTCATGCAATTTTCTCTTGTTTTCATCGTATTGGGTAATAATGATATGAGCATCATAGCCAATACTACAAATAACAGTTGCTTTAGCTCGCTTTGATGTTATCAATGGTAGATAAGCTGTTAAGTCAATATGTTGACTCATTTCGACCTTATTCGTAATATTGATTGGCGTAAAAACACATGCATTGTATGTTCTTGGGATAACATATGAAACGTATTACGAAAAAGAACAATTATACATTAAGAAAAATTAATCGTGTTATCTTACCGGTAATTTTCATTGATAAACCGATATTGATAGAAAACGGAATGGGTGGGATTTACTTCCCATTGAGTATTATTCATCAATGGAAATTTTTTCCTTTTCGAAAAATGATTTACACAATGAAAAGGTCATATCATTCAACAATATCGACTTACCCTAAGGACAATAATGGACAATGTGGTCGATTTTCATTATTGAGAAAAGGTATAAGTGGCAACCCAATCGATCCATTTGGTAAAATGGCATTCTCAAGCGTCAAAGCTTGTTTTAATTTACATCCTGAAATATTTTTAATTGTACCCGAACATTTAATAGTCGACACATTGGCATAGGATAAATTTGTAGCCAATAAGGATGTGTGTCCGAGATCGGCATGATGAAATAAACTATGAGATAGTAAACTTCCAGTTAGATCTGCTAGACGTAAATCTGTACCAGTAAAATCCATTTGTGTCATATTACAGAAAAAGAATGTAATTTTTTGTAAATGAGCATAACGAAAATCACTGGCAGCTAAATTCGAATTAATAAATTCTTCTCGTTGTTGTGTTCTATAAGAGTCGAAATTCGTATTAGAAAAATTTGTTTGTTGCATTCGAGCATATTCAAAACGAGGACTAGTGCCAAATGCTTTCTGAAATGTTGCTTGTCTCAGATCAACTCCAATGAACGATGCATTTCGTATGTTGCTATGTGAGAAATCAGCCGCAACTAAAGATGCTCCATCAAATACAGTATTAATGCAAGTCGATCCACTAAAATTAGCACCATTCAAATTTGCATTTCGAAAATTTCCATTGGAAAGATTTCGACCAGCAAAAGAAGCATTATTGAGATAAGCGCCACTTAAAAATAAATTAACTAGATTTCTCTGAGTTCGTAAATCAAGATCGTTCAGATAAGCTTCAGTGAGATCAAGAGATTTTTCGCCAAGTGATAATTGACCAGACCCATATAAAAACATGAGAAGATGAGCTGCTCGTCTTGGTCCAACCTGTTCAATGATATTTAATGTTTTGGCACGTGCTAATGATGAAATAATTGCATTGGATGATAATGGCTTCTCGTTTGTTTTTTGTATGAGTTCTCCCATTTCACTATAATACGACAGTAATAGACCATCGAGATACTTTTCATGGTCTTTCTTAAATCGTTCTTGTTCGATATTGATTTCGTGTATGCGTTGATCTCGCGTCATATTTCGTTGAATAGCTGCATTGAGATCATCGGCATCACGTTTTTCGGCAGCAATTTGTTTGTCATGTGCGCGTTGTTGTTCGGCTATCAATTTATCAGTTTCACGTTGTTCACGAGAAATATTCAAGTCTTGTTCACGTTGTTCTCTAGCCAATTCACGATCTTCAAGACGTTGCTGTTGAGAAATATTTAGATCTTGTTGACGTTGTTGTTCAGCTAAGCGCCTGTCTTCAGCTATTTGAAGGCGATTTTGATTACGCTGGTCAAATGTGATGACGACAGTAAAAATAGCTAATAAGAGAGGAAGAAGAAGTTGGCTAATGAAATTAATAAGTTTGCTTAGTGAAGAACATCCTCCACGTTTATGATCATTCTTAACGAGTTCGCGATCATTCGTATTCGTATTTGGTAGTATGTCTGTAGCAAACATTCTTTGAACAATAGGATAATGAAACAAGAAACTGGTTCACTTCAAATGAGCAATCAATCTATAACAAATACGTCGTCATATTCATCGAGAGATTTGTTTTAATCAATATTTGATGACGTGTCACTAACGTCAAATATCTTTATCAGGAATTGAGTGACGCCGAAGTCTTATCTTTTTTCCCTCGAATTCTTTTAATAGGCATTTTGTTGATTGACATATAACATAATGCTCATTCATTTTTGAGGCATGTGTTTTGCAAGTAGGAGTGTGTGCATGCATTATATTTTTACCCACCGTTTCATCCTGAAAGTAACTATATTTTGCTTGTTCACAGATTTATTTGAATTTAAAAATAAATACGGAAACTTCGGATTAAATCCGAGAGTTATGCGTACTTCAAAAAGTGAATCATACGAATTAGTCATCCCAGAATGTGTGAACATCAAAATTATACTAGGGAACCTACCATTTAAAATGTTGATTTCTCTTGCGCATTGCCAAACCCATAGGACTTGAGACCGAATACAGCTCAAATTTGAACTCTTTTCCTTGATTTACCCTGAGAAAGTCGTTTTTCCTATAACTTGATTTCTATTGGTCACTGCTCAACCAATAGTATTTCGATGGAAGTGCAGTACAGATTCGTGTTCTCCATCTCAGAAAACCTCGAAGTATCACCACTGTGATTGGAAGATAGAGCTCTATTTGTGGATCAATTAGATCGTGGACAAAAATATAACCTAGTTCTTTTTAATAATCTTTGTGGTAGGTGAGTCAGCCTTCTTGTTTCTTTATGTTTTATATATCATTTTGTAGCTCTTGAAATTCTCTATCGAATGGTATATAATAGTTGCAGTTTTAATTGACTATGATAGGAAAAGCCTTTTACGAAAGGGGCGATGGGTCGATTTCTCCATAGAAAGCTATAGGAAAAAATGGGTATTTTTGCAATAACTCAGGAATGGCTCGGCTGATCCTTCTCATCTTCGAATTCGACCGAGATATTGTAAAGACTGAACTGTATAGAAAATTTCATCGTGATCACACTCTCCTTTTGAAAGTTATCGTGTAAACGGCCGGACGGTCGGCCGGACATACTGACCGATTCCAGAGTGTACTCACTTTTTGAGTACACAAAAAACATGTCTTCGGTTGTGAACATCGATTCTATCGGACATTATTGGTAGTTCAATGTGATTTGCTTTTATTTTAACACTTGCAAATATATTCATCTAGAAATGAGAAAAAAACTCACTCACCGAGTAAAACTACCAAATGAAATCTATGATTAGTATATTTCCTTAAGTATTTCAAACGATATTCTTCCTAATCAATGTACCATTCACAGATATATTGATGGCATCTTCTTCACTTCAAACGAATCATTGAAATCTATTAATCAGATCTTCTAAAAACTCAATAATTTTCATCTAAAATCAGAATGATATATTAACAACATCAGTTCATCATAAAGAAGCAGGTCCCAAGCAGACAGACATGTGGATTTTTCACGTTTTTTGAACTAAAATGTCGACTTTTAGTCAAAATTTGTGCGTGTTTTTCGTTTGTTTCAAAAAACGCACAAAAAATCGTGTTTTCGTCGAATTTTTCAACATTTCCATTTTTTTCCACTTTCCCAGGTCGAAATAGCTATGTCGGATCCTGTCGGATAGGTTTCAAATCCGTTGAGATACGGCTAATCGGATTCGGTCGGTTACTTTTTGTCGGATTCCGATGCTATCCACTGTTTTCATTTGATATCCGCCGGTCGAATTCATCGAGCTCCGACTAGATTCATATATTCGGAACTGGTCAGATCCGATCTCAAGATCTGTTCGCTTCCGATGGGATTCCGGGAAATCTGATGTCAAGAAATCGCCGGATTTTGCGGTTTCAAATGACACCGGATTCCATGATAAAACCGATCAATCACTGGTATCGGAACTTGTCGGATTATATAAGAATGCAGAACACCCAAGCCGATCTCACACCATCGGATCCGATGGAAATTAGTCGGAAGTTGTCGGATGTTGGAAAGTGTCGGATTGTCAGAGTTCCGACAAGATGCCGACCACTTCCGACACTTTCCGACATCCGACAACTTCCTGTTGGAATCCGATACCAAGGATTCCGACGAATTGCCATCAGATTCGATAAAATTCGATAATTTTTCCGATAGGATCCGACGAGATCCGACTGTCGGATTGTTCGTTCTGGGTATCCAGTATTATTTTCCACGTAGTCGGATTCATGAATTAGAATATATTCTGACAGATCAATCAGCTAACCATCTAATAAGATATTTCTCTTTTTACAAATCTCCAACAACAAAATCAAAAATCTGGAA